ATCTGCCTGGGGAGAACCCTACCTGCCCAGGAAGGACCATACGTTCCCGGGGAGAACCCTACCTGCCCGGGGAGGGCGACACCTGCCCGGGGAGAACCCTACCTGCCCAGGGAGGGCCATACCTGCCCCAGAGCATGCTGCAGCAGTGTCGGGTGCCCAACAAACCGCACGTTATCAATCTTCAGTTCAAATTTTTGGCCACACATTTCAGACTTGGTTGCCAAAATTGTTGCCAGAATGACATCCGAAAACCTTAAAATTATAAAAGGGTAGAGTGGAAATAAGTAAACAAAGCGTCACAGCACCACACCCACCTGCCCTCAGAGAGGAAAGGTCTCAGGACATGGCAGCTCCGTGCGTGGAGTGGTCAAGCCCCACTGCTGACTTGGGAGATTTCTATCAGTTTCCCTTTTGAAGCAATCCCCAAGATCAGGGACATAAAATCACCAGAATTACAAGGTAAAAGGCATGAGAAGCATAGGCTGAAGGCACATGCTGTCATTTCTCGGCATGCTCTATGAAACTCAGGACAGAAACGAGCTGCAGTTTGCTTTTAAAGGGAGGACGACAGCTGGAGCTGGCACTGCCCGGAGAGGCCACTCACTGAGGCTCACAGACGTATTGGGGGGTTCCCCCCACTGGCCCAGGTGTGCCAGGCTGCACCTCCCATCCCCAGGTGTGTGAAGGGCGAGGGGACAACACTAACTACAGTGTGTTAATTACCTTCCTCGCAGCACGGCTGTCTGGCTGTTCCCTCATCTGAGTTCTTACTAGGGATGAAACTTCTAAGATATGCAAAATATGCAGAACCAACGACATGATAGAAATGTGGGGGCACACGGGACCGAATGCCATGGAAAAGGAGGAAGGGCTGCAGCGCGACAGCAGCTCTGGATACAATCTCTGTAAAACTGCAGAGCTCACTCCTTTCCAAGATGCATCTGCACCCTTGCGTCTCCCCACCAGCGGCCCTGTTCCTTCCTGCCCAAAGCGGTCCAGATAAGGGAAAGGCACCACAGGGAGGAGACTGCGGGGGGGTGCAGTGTCGAGTCTTATCTCAGAGCCCAGGCTCCAGGGGCCTGCACTCGAGAAACAGGGATGAACCATATATGATCTGGAGCCAGAAGGGAGACAAGACTGGTGCTCATTTCTCCGCCTGGAAAAAGCATTTCTAACATCCAGGTCAGAAGGGCACACTGTGTTGGGGAAGGAGGCTCCACCTCCCCCAAGGCCACACTCTACCCCTGGGCAGGGAGACCCCTAAGGTCCCGAAAAGGACAACGAGGACAGACACACCATGTGCATCCTGGACCTTCACTGAGGAGCTACAGTGAATCAGGGACTGCACCAGATGCCTCTCTCCTGGAGGAGCCACAATGGGGGGAAGAGACTAACACCTTAACACTCCAAAGGGGAAGGTCTGCTGTGGACTGCTGCTGCAGTTCAGCCCCGAAAGAGCAGATGACCTTGACATAAAATGATCGAGGAAGGGGGGTCGCTGCTTCGGGCTCCTTACACTCGGCGGGCCTCAATGTCTAACACACTAGAGGCTAACTTGGAACCAGCCTGGAGCAAGAACCTTGTGGTGCTCAACCAGCACGCGGACAAAAGCCAGACAGGCAGCACCTCCGCAGCAGGCAGGCCGGGCCTAGCACTGCCAAGGGGGGCTGGTCACGGTGGCTTCCAGCCTTCCTCCAGGACCAACACGGTCCTCCAGGTATCCACACAAACCAGATGCAGGGGGGCTGGTCAGAACGGGCTGCCTTGCCTCTTGCACAGTCAGGACTGCAGTTGGACCTCCGGACACCGACGTTGTCAGAAACACTCTGGCAAACTTGGAACCCACAGCCCACGCCCTTGGCTGCCCAGCGTGCGTCGCTCCTTCCCAGGAATACCGCTCTCTGGAGTGAATAAACCAGAGACGGCAGATTCCAGAGTATTAGACCAAAGGCATTATTACATGCTTTCTTCAAAACCTCTAAATGGGTCACTCTGCCCTGTAACTCCCATCTGAGGGTTACAGTGACGGTGAGGGAGGGCTTCAGAATGATAAACCCCTAACAAATACTTCTGCTCTCGTAACTGATTCAATGCCAACATTGACACCCTATGTGAACAAACACTACCCCTCCACGGACAGTGATAACGGATAGGAAAACAACTTCCTACCATTCCAGAAGGTTCGCTTTTTCTTGTGATACCCACAATCTCCACTAAAAACCTCTGCTCTGTCACAAAGAGCCATAGACAGGCCTCAGCCCTGGCCTTCAGCCACCAAACCAGGAACCTAAGTTCGGCTGTGAGGGGAGTCCCGAGATTCAGAGGCAAACAGTAGTGGCCCAGTTCACATTTATAAATATCCAAATCCAAAATGTGTCTTTCCAGGAGCCAAATAAAAAGCACTTCCCCCTCTAGATTCAGAAAGGACAGAACAGAGGGAACCAACTGGAGAGCCATGTACTGCTGAAGTTAAAAGCCACACTGCGCTGAGTGGCCCTTCGAGGAGGCCTCTCTAGGGTGGCGAGTGGGAGGGTGTTAAGCTGCTCTGCCTGACTGAGCTAGTCTGGACCACACAAGGATCCACTCACTGCAGCCTAACATTACACATTTATGATTTTAGCAAATGCTTGAGGGGCTTATACTTTCTGTACTGTGTGTGCTGACATAACATGCCCAAAGTCACAGAGTCTGTCATGAGATTTAGGGGAAGGGGACACAACTGACATAAATAGCAAAGTAAAACAAAAACAAGTGACCATACTTGTTTCCAAAAATAAAAGCACTTAACATGAATTAGCCCAGCTGGAAAACAGGGAAAACCTTCTATTTCTGCCAGAATATTCAGGAGCAGGACTTTTTCTCTGCCTTGGCAAAAAAAAAAAAAAAGAGAGAAAAAGAAAAAGGGCCGGGGGGAGGGAGAGGCAGCATAGAAGGGAACTCAACTCTGCCCCCTCCTGTTTTGGGGGGCTCACGGATATCCTATGCATCTCCAACACCCAGGGGGATGCCCCATCAAGGGGACAGAGAGACCCACTTACCCACACCCTCCTGGAGAAGTGCCATATAAACTCCACAGGAACATTTTTGCCTCTAATGGGCACACACAACAGCATCTAAGCCCGAGGACCACATTTAGCACCCAGCCCTTGAGAGAGGCCTCCTGTAACTCCTCTGAGAAATGAAGGGAAGAAGCAACGATCAGAGGTCTCTCTTGGAGGCTGGCTAGGGAGAGGAGGAGCCTGGTCCTGCTTGCCTACCACCTTCATGGGGCCACTGGTGCCTGCCTGGAGGAGGGGAGGTCTACGTGCATGCCTGGTCCCAGAAGTCTCCCTGGTACCAGCCAAACTCGCCCTGGCCTCTCAGGTAATGTGGAACAGCTAAATAACTCCAGGTGGAGAAAGGGCAGGGGCACTCATGGGGGATCAGGCAGTGAGGTCCAAGCCAGAGCCTGTGTGCCTCGTTAGTCATTTTTCAACACTGAGGGCAATCAGTTAAGCACAATTATAAGAAGAGAAGGCAGCAAGAATCAGGACAGAAAGGTGGCGGAGAAGTGTTGGGCTTACCCTGCAACCAATCGCTCATCGGTTGGAGGACATGGCTCGCTGGAATGGGAACAGGACCATCAAGACCAAACAAACACACTGATTTTAAAAATCATGAATAGTTACAAGGCTGTTTTATTAAAACAAGTGTTAAAGTCTAGACTTTAACTGCTTAGGGCATTAACTGCTGAGGGCAAGGCTAAGCAACTTACCGGACAAGAAAAAAGACACAGACACTCGCCAAGTTGAAGACTTACCACAGTTTTCTCACAAAAGCTCAAACTCCCACGTGTAAACAGAGCCTGGGCACAAGTGAGTGTCTGTCTTCAGAAGCAAGAGCAAGGCTGGAAGACCCGGGTCAGAGCCCAACACCACACGTATTCACTTGACACCCATGCACGAGCATTTAATCTTTCTGATGAAACCATCTCGGTAAGATCCAGGGAGATCGCCACAGGGAAAAGCCTTATAAACACTGTAGAATGCAGTGAACATGGCAGCCCCACGTCTTGAGATGCCGTAACTGTCTGCAAAACCAAACTCAGCGTGCCTCTGCACAGCACAGGACGGCAGGCCCTTCGGCAGCAAATCTGTACATGATGGATGAGGCCTCTGTGCTACGAACTTTCGTTTTTCAGAGATATGTTTAAGAGAGTCAAGGTCGTCTGCAGAGGCCTGTGTTCTGGGACATGCTGCTTTCCCAGCACCCTGCAACAGAGAGTAGGCCAGACCCCAGAGTGGAGACAACACTGGAGGCACAAGAGCCTGCCACAGCGCTGTGCCACCCTGCTGGGCCTGCTGCTCCCCACGGCTCTCACTGAGAAACGCCTAAGACCCACACGACAGAAACACACAACCAAGAGCCCCTTTTTTCAACAGCTCCCAAACTTCAGCTCATCAGTTTACCTAGTAAGAAAGGGGTAAGATGTTTTGTGGACTCTCCAAGATCACCCAGCAAGTCAGAATCCCTAGAAGCCCTAGTGCAACTCCTACCACCTTTATCTTCGACGATCAAACAGGTCACAACGAAATCCCTCTAGTTCCATCTGGGGCTTCCAAGTGTCAGCAGTGCTCTATTTCCACCCTGGGCTGTGGAGGTGACAGGCCAGACCCCGCTGGCATGTTTCGTTTTGTTTTTTTTAAGTTCATTTATTTATCTTTGAGAGAGAAAGGAACGTGACCAGGGAATGGGGCAGAGAGAGAGGGAGAGAGAATCCCAAGCAGGCTCCACACGGAGCCCGACGTGGGGCTCGATCCCACAAACTGTGAGATCATGACTTGTGACAAAATCAAGAATCACACACTCAAACTGAGCCACCCGGGTGCCGCCCCCCCCCCCACCTCCCCCCTTCAGTGGCGTATCTTATGAACTTGTGTCTGCACCTCTGAGGGAGGCAGAGCCACCAACAAGTACTCTCCCCAAGGCACAGATGTTCCCATGATACCCAGACCTGGGAAGGGGAGTTAGAGGTGCCCTGCCACCCTCAGCATCTTACAAAGAGGCAAAACTGAGGCTCCTGGTCTAAGAAACATGCCCAAGATCATACCGTAGGATGCAAAATGGGAGTCACACCTGGAACCCGGAACCTGCACTTGTCCCAACACGTTGCCTGCAGGCATGTGCCAGTGTGGACACACCAGTGTAGACTCAGTGACTGGGTCAGGAAAGGGGTGGGGGATGCCCAAGCTTGGGGACAACACTGCTTAACCACATTCCGTACACTGACCTCAACTCTAGGAAAGAGGGGCACCTTTTTTACTTACTTACTTATTTATTTATTTATTTCTGGGGGGGGGGGGGGGAGAGAGAGAAAGCATGAGCAAGGGAGGACAGAGAGAGAGAGAGGGAGGGAGAATCCCAAGCAGGCTCTATACTGCCAGCACCAGAGCCCAATGCGGGACTCGAACCCATAAAACAGAAGACCATGATCTGAGCCAAAATCAAGAGTCGGACGGTTAACCGACTGAGCCGCCAGTCCACCTGCACAAGGGGCTTCCAAGCGTCAGCAGTGCTCTAACACATGTCCAGCTGCACACTAGTAGAAGCAAAGCTGTCGAGAGAGGCCCAGTGGATCCCCGTGTGCACCTGGTGTAGAGGACCCAGCTTGCCTGGCTGAGGTTCTCATCCAGCTGAGGGTGTGAACATGCCAAAAAGCTGGACCCACTGCTTAGAGAAAGGTGGCCAAGGCTGAGGAGGGCAGCAGTGCCATCCGATCCCACCACTCCCTCAAGGCCAACCGAGAATCAAAAGGTTTTACAGTTCCGAGGTCTTCTGGATGATGTCTAAAGTAAAATGATTTCTGGGGCGCCTGGGTGGCTCCGTCGGTTGGGCGTCCGACTTCGGCTCAGGTCGTGATCTCATGGTTTGTGAGTGTGAGCCCCGCGTCGGGCTCTGTGCTGACAGCTCAGAGCCTGGAACCTGCCTCAGAGTCCGTGTCTTCCTCTCTCTCTGCCCCTCCCCTGCTCACGCTCTGTCTCTCTCTCACACACAAAAAAACACAAATTAAAAAAAAAAAAAACATTTTAAAGTAAAATGATTTCTGAGTGTTCTGAAATAAAGTCAACTCTTCTCCAAGCTACCAGCTTCTCCTTCTAGGACGGTGCCCAGAACACTGCACGTTGGGAGGGATCGTGCCTTTGTGACAGACTCCAGGCTTTCTCCAAGACCTCTCTTGATGGTTTTTGCCCTGCCAGTGTCGGGGCTGCATGATGCTATGAAGCATGACCTCCGTGGTCCCTAACTCTCATCCAACAGAAACACTACAACGATTCTAAATCTGAATTTCAAACCTTAAAGATAATGAACAATATCCATTTTATTCTTCTCTTCCTACTGAAGTCTATATAAGTTTTTGTTAACCTGACAATTAATTTTTATATCCTGAAACACATCTTTTTTTTTTTAATTTTTTCTTAACGTTTATTCATTTTTGAGAGACAGGGAGAGAGAGCATGAGCAGGGAAGGGCAGAGGGAGGGAGACACAGAATCTGAAGCAGGCTCCAGGCTCTGAGCTGTCAGCACAGAGCCCAATGCGGGGATTGAACTCACAAACTGTGAGATCATGACCTGAGCTGAAGTCAGACACTCAACTGACTGAGCCACCCAGGCGCCCCTGAAACACATCATCTTAATGATTCACCTTATAAAACCAGCACACGCTTCTAAGCCAGTGCGGTCCAACAGAAGTTTCTACAGTGGTGGAGATACTCTAAATCTGAACCATTCAGTACAGTAGCCATGAGTTGCCTGTGGCCCCGGAGAATTAAAATGCAGCTAGTATAATGGAGGAACTAAGTTTCATTTCATTTCAATTTAAATGATGACTTTAACACAGGGCACCAAAGGTCTACATTCTCACTTCTCTGAGGCCGTGGACGTCTTCCACCACACGCACACATCACACAAGTGGCCTGTTAACATCATTTCAATCTAGCAAAACAATGCTGAGGACCATTCTCCTGGTTTCAGAAGAAAGGCCCCTTCAAGAAGACAATCAAGGAGAACATGGACAAAAGGTACGATGCACCTTAATTGTACTGCTTTGGAAGATGTGTGAGCCACAGCAGGGTTCCCCCAGGTGTCAGAGGCTTTGGCAGGCCAATGGGACAAAAAAAAAGCAGGGTATTAACCAGTATCTCTGAAAACACAGCAGGTGGGGAGTGCTGTCATGTGCTAAAATTACCAAATGAAGTAATTCTTAAGTTTAATCAGAGTATAAGGAACCTGCTCTTCTTTTTTTTTTTTTTAACGTTTATTTTATTTTTGGGACAGAGAGAGACAGAGCATGAACGGGGGAGGGGCAGAGAGAGAGGGAGACACAGAATCGGAAGCAGGCTCCAGGCTCGGAGCCATCAGCCCAGAGCCCGACGCGGGGCTCGAACTCCCGGACCGCGAGATCGTGACCTGAGCCGAAGTCGGACGCCTAACCGACTGAGCCACCCAGGCGCCCCGTGGAACTTGCTCTTCTTACTGAACAAGCTTATCAGAGAATTCTGATAGACCCACAATGCCTCACTCCCTTCCTATGGTTTTTCCCCTTCTGTATGCTACATATGAAAATAATTCCCTAAAAAACATCTTCTTAGTCTTTTATTACAGGCCTCCGAGAGCTAACTCCAGGGCTCAGGGGCTGCCAGCCTCCTAGGAAAGCCACACAGACTGCTCCAACGGCACTTTCTGCTTCAGCAGCCCGAGCCTCAAACCTATGGAGCTTGGAGGGAGAAGGGCAGGCCAGCCCTGCTCTAAATGAATCTATGCTGCAGGCAGAAGACAAAATGCACCCACCCCACGAGAAGGAGCAAAGTGCTTTCTACGCACCTGTAACAAACAAGAGTTTGTTCCAAGTGGCCGACCTCAGAGGACAAGAAGACCACAGCCTTCTACATCACGCAGAACATGGGATGTCCAATAATCCCCCACACCCCCTGCCCTCTCCTGCTGGTCTCTCTTCCAAAGCTTGCTCCCCTCAGAGACAGTCACTGGCCACGCCAGAGGCCCCATATGCCCTCACAAAAAAGGGTAAAAACCACAATTGTGGAACTGCACAACACCATGGCGGATATGGTGTCTTGTCAAGAGGCCTGAGGGAGATAGCGCTAGCTCACTCCATGGCAAAGGCCCAGGAAGGGACCTCAGCTATTCTGCCATGGAACAGTTGAGGCTGAGTCCTTTACTGCAGGCAGGCCCCAGCTGTGTTTAGAGGCACCAAGGGCAGGCAATTTATAACCCTCCTTTAGCTGGTAGTACCATTTACTAAGCCTTAAAATGAATGTAAAGCAGACGTGGTCATTTCTTATGTTTGCCACCCTGACGGCATCTCCCAGGACAAGCAGGGGAGCACACACAGGAAGGACCAGGACCTGCCTTTCGTCCGTGCCCTAAAAGAGCAAGGGTCACATCAGCCCTGGCTCTCAGCCCACATCACCCCATGAGCAGGCTGGGCTGCCCCAAGCACCTACATGTGCCCTCTGGGCACATGTTTGAGAAGTCAAGTCTGAGGACAGCACTGGGGACTGATTTTCTCCATCTTCCTCTCGTGGTAGATAAAGTTCCCTCTAGCCTCATCTGTTTTCCAATCTCCTTGAGCAACCAACCAGTCCACAGCTGGAACATGGAACAAACTACGCAGCAAGGCCGAGACTGGCAACACAATCCCAGTTCTGCACAACCTGAAACCCCCGCAAATGGAATAAAAGGACACCAGGTTTGTCACAGGAGAAAACCTCTGGGTCAACAGGAGGTAGGGCTTTGCCCAGGCCAAGGGGCACGACAGCCCCATCATGGAGTGACTGTAAAGCCCTTACCTGGAATCACCATCCTGGTCGTCGGCATGGTCTCCAGTGTTGTTGACGGCATATCTGCTACGAGGCTTATCTGAGGGCAAAAGGGGGAGAGTGGCTAAGAAAAGAGGATCCATCCACACGCAGGTCTGTGGATACATTAAAAGTAATGGTCTCTAACTACTGGGACCTCATCAAAATAAAAAACTGCACAGCGAAGGAAACAATCAGCAAAACTAAAAGGCAACCGACAGAATGGGAGAAGATATTTGCAAATGGCATATCAGATGATGGGTTAGTATCCAAAATCTATTAAGAACTTATCAAACTCAACACCCAAAAAACAAATAATCCAGTGAAGAAAAGAGCAAAAGACATGAACAGGCACTTCTCCAAAGAAGACATACAGATGGCCAAGTGACACATTAAAAAATGCTCAACATCGCTCATCATCAGGGAAATACAAATCAAAACCACAAAGAGATACCACCTCACACCTGTCAGAATGGCTAACATTAACAACTCAGGCAACAACAGATGTTGGCGAGGATGTGGAGAAAGAGGATCTCTTTTGCACTGCTGGTGGGAATGCAAGCTGGGGCAGCCACTGTGGAAAACAGTATGGAGGTTCCTCAAAAAACTAAAAACAGAACTACCCTACGACCCAGCAACTGCACTGCTAGGCATTTATCCACGGGATACAGGTGTGCTGTTTCAAAGGGACACACGCACCCCCATGTTTATAGCAGCACTATCGACAACAGCCAAAGTATGGAAAGAGCCCAAATGTCCAACGATGGATGAATGGATAAAGAAGATGTGGTATATATATATATATATATATATATACAATGGAATATTACTCGGCAATCAAAAAGAATGAAATCTGGCCATTTGCAACTACGTGGACGGAACTGGAGGGTATTATGCTAAGTGGAATTAGTCAGTCAGAGAAAGACAAAAATCATATGACTTCACTCCTATGAGGACTTTAAGAGACAAAAAAGATGAACATAAGGTAAGGGAGACAAAAATAATAAACAGGGAGGGGGACAAAACAGAAGAGACTCATAAATGTGGAGAACTGAGAGTTACTGGAGGTGTTGAGGGAGGGGGATGGGCTAAATGGGGGAGGGGCACTAAGGAATCTACACTGAAATCACTGTTGCACTAAATGCTAACTAATTTGGATGTAAATTTAAGAAAATAAAATATAAAACAAGTAAAAAAAAAAAAGCGATGGCTTCAAAAACGTGGCATATATACACACAATGGCCATAAAAAGGAATGGAGTTTTGATACATGTTAAAACATGGAAGAACTTGAAAACATTATGCTAAGTAAAAGAAATCAGACACAAAAGGACAAATACTACACTTATATGAAATACCTACAGTGGGCAAAACTCAAGAGAGACAGAAAGTAGTTTAGAGATTACCAGAGGCTGAGGGCAGAGGAAATTGGATTATTGCTAAATGGTTACATATTTCAGTTTGAGGTGAGGAAAATTCTGGAAATACACAGTGGTGACAGGTGCATAATGCAGTGAATTAATCATGGTGAATGAAGCTAATGCCACCAAACTGTAAACTTAAAAATGGTTAAAATGGCAATTTTATAATATGTATATACACTTGTATTTTAATATATCACCCCTTTTGTGTGTGTGTGTTTATTTATTCATTTTGAGAAAGAGAGAGACAGTGTGAGCAGGGGCAGGGACAGAGAATCCCAAGCAGGCTCCATGCTATCAGTGCAGAGCCAACTGTGGGGCTTGATCTCACAAACCCTGAGATCATGACCTGAGCCAAAATCAAGAGTCGGATGCTTAACCAACTGAGCCATCCAGGTGCCCCACATATATATTTTCTACCATAACAAACATTTTTTTTTTCCCAATAGTTACTGTTTCCAAGGAATTATAACATAGGAAATGTTTTTGCTACCACTACATTCAGTTTAAAAAAAAAAAAAAAAAGAATCTCACACACACACACACCCTCTCAGTATACGATGACAACTAGGTTGGAAAAAGCACAGGCTAAAGAAAAAAATTTTTCAATGTCCATATACCAATATCCTTCACATACCTTACCAGAGTAATACAGTTTAAAGAACTTGGGATGAACTTAAGAAGTTCCTTATAGGCAGGGCACCTGGGTGGCTCAATGGGTTAAGCATCTGGCTTTGGCTCAGGTCATGATTTCCTGGTTTGCGAGTTCGAGCCCCGTGTTGGGCTCTGTGATGACCGCTCAGAGCCTGAAGCCTGCTTCGGATTCTGTGTCTCCCTCTCTCTCTGGCCCTCTCCTGCTCACACTCTGTCTGTCTGTCTCTCTCTCTAAAATAAAATAAACATTAAAAAAAATTTTTTTTTTATTATTTGAATGTGGATCTTTAGGGTTTTTTTTTTGCATTTTTTTAATTATTTTTTTTAATATATGAAATTGTCAAATTAGTTTCCATACAACACCCAGAGCTCATCCCAAAAGATGCCCTCTTCAATGCCCATCACCTACCCTCCCCTCCCTCTAAAAAAATTTTTTTTAAGTTCATTACGGGCAAGTGGTCCACGAGGAAATCAGAAATGCTAGCAAGGGAGACAAGAATGAAAGCAAACATGCTATGCTCTTGAGTAGGGGGACTCAACACAAAGATGTCATTTTTTTGCAGTTAGCCCATACATGTGACATGATTCCCACACCACCACCAACGGTCTGGGAGAAGGGCCCAGTATATTCAGTACTCAGGTTCACCGGGAACAGTAAGCAAAAACAGCCAGGATAGTGCTGAAAAAGAGAAGTAACGATAAGCGACTAATCCTATCTGAAAATACAACACAGTGTAAAGTTACGGTCATTCATCAGTGTGGAACCCACATGGCTGGGAAAGATGAAAGGTAAAAAGAGACAGGGAATTCAGTATGCGAGAAAGGCAGCAGAACCAGTCACTGAGAGAAGAGACAATCATGCTGGCTCTTGAAGCAACCACTCTGCAGCCCCATTGTTCCCACATCCTTCCTCACCCATCACAGCACCCTCTTCAGAAGGCTCCGGGAGGTGCACACACAACTCACTCTCGGCAAGTGTGCAGAAGACACCAACTCCTACCAGGAGCGTCCAACTTACGCCAAGAGAAACACATTAAAAAATACGTATATAGGGGCGCCTGGGTGGCGCAGTCGGTTAAGCGTCCGACTTCAGCCGGGTCACGATCTCGCGGTCCGTGAGCTCGAGCCCCGCGTCAGGCTCTGGGCTGATGGCTCGGAGCCTGGAGCCTGTTTCCGATTCTGTGTCTCCCTCTCTCTGCCCCTCCCCTGTTCATGCTCTGTCTCTTTCTGTCCCAAAAATAAATAAAAACGTTGAAAAAGAAAATTAAAAAAAAAAAAAATACGTATATAGTAAACATGAGATAGGAAAACACAAGACAGGTCTTGTTTCTTTCCATTAACCTTGAGGAACAGAACGCCTTTCTACATGTAACAAAACTCAGAAACTCCGAAAGAACAGACTGAAAACCTGACTCCATAAAAGTCAAAATTCTATGCAGCAAGAACCACACAGAAGCAAACTGGCTACGAATGTGTGGCTCTGTCGCAGAAAAAGGCCTATTTTATCCTAAATATTTAAAGAGCTCCTTCAAATCTCTAAGGAAAAAATAAACCCAAGATGGAATTAGGCAAAGGTTATGAGTAAGTCATTCACTAAAAAGGAAATCCAAATGGCTGTGAAGAGAGGAAAACATGCTGTCATGAAGACAAACGCACATGTAAATCACGATCAGACACTTCACCCATCTCACTAACAAAGACAGAAAAATCTGATCTACTGAAGATCAAGATGTTCATTTTTCCCTAGATCCAACCACCCCCCGGGGGGGATTGACCCTATATTCTGAAAAATGATAATGTAGACAGAAAAGACATTCACACTGTTTGTATCAACAGAGGCCTAAATGAAAAAATCACAGTGTGTTCATCCCGTGATTCTGATCATTCTGAACCTAAATCCAAGATGTAAAGTGAACATGAAAACAACATGGCAGAAAAGTGTGCACAGTGTGTTCACTTCTGCTTAGAAAATACAACCTGTAGGAGCACCCGGGTGGCCGAGTCAGTTAAGCATCCATCGCTTGCTTTCGGCTCAGGTCGTGATCTCATGGTTCATGAGATCAAGCCCCACACCAGGCTCCACGCTGACAGTGCAGAGCCTGCTTGGGATTCTCACTCTCCCTCTCTGTCCCTCTCTCTCAAAAATAAAATAATATAAACTTTAAAAAATAAAAAAAAAAAATAATAAAATAAAATGTGTGGGTGCGCCTGGCTGGCTCACTCTGAAGAACATGGGACTCTCGATCTCGGCGTCCTGAGTTCCAGCCCAACATTGGGTTTAGAGATTGCTACAAAAAATAAATAAATAAAACAAAGAAAAGAAAATGTGTGTATATGCTTATATTCACACAGAAGGTTCTGGAAAAATACACAGGAAAATGGTAATAGCAGCTGCCCCTATAAGGGGAAATGAGTGGCTAGGGATCGACGGTGGGAAAGAACTTTCTTTTCATCATCTATACCCCTTTGTACCTTTAAAACTGTGTACCACGTTAACAAATTTAAAAGTAAGGTTAAAACAAAATATAAGTCAGGAACTGCACATTCATGATAGTGAAAAACTGCAAGTAACCTAAATGTCTATTATGTTCTCATGTGCAGCTCTACGAGTGAGGGTGATCTCTTTTTAAACTGGAAAAGTGCTCCAAGGAAGATCGTTTAATGGAAAAAAGACCAACTGCAGAACAATGTATCATGCGGGGGGGAAATCCCCAAGACGAGGCACTGTTTTTCTCTGCATACCTATCGGTACAGGAGGGACAACCGCCAAAATGGCAGGTGGTTATCCCTGCGACAGGGAAGGAGCAGAACTGGGGAAACTTCCGATGACATGTCATTTCGTGTTTGTTCCAAGCTGAATACATTCATACAGTACTTCTACGTATTCTTAAAAGGCTGGAGGTACTGACGAACGTTAGCAATGATGCCTTTGGCATGTTGAACTGAGTGAGTTTTCTCTGCTTTTACTCTTCTGTACTTTGCAAATACTCTAATGAGTAGGCACTGACTACATGATCAGGAAAAGAAAAGGTCAACGACTGCAGTTTCAACGTGCGAGGCGGGGAGGGAAGGGAGCCGCCTCCGGGCGCTGCTCCGATCCTGCCGCCGGGCGCACGCCCGGGAGCGCCAGTCCCTCTGCCGGCGCTCACTTACTTGTCTGGGACGCCGGGTGCTCCTGGCTTCTCTGGAAGGGATACCTGAACAGCAGTTTATTGCCCCTGCTGCCCGAGCTCACCAGAATCACGCTGATGGGGCTGGTGTTGTCGCCCATCCTGCGGTGGGCTCTCGGAGACGGGGTGGGGGCTCCGAGGAGGACAGGCTGGGACCGGGATGGGGGCTGGGGTGGGAGAGGGGCCAGAGGGCCCGGGGCGGAGGTGGGGAGCGGGCTCCGAGGAGGACGGGCCGGGCCCGGGATGGAGGCCGGGGTGGGGGAGGGGCCACAGGGCCCAGGGCAGAGGCGAGGTGGGGGCTCCCAGGAGGACCGGCTGGGACCCGATAAGGGTGCTTGAGGAGGAGGCTCCCAGGACGGGGCTGAGGGGGCTTGAGCAGGACGCGCCCCAGGTCGCAGAAATGCGGGGCGCCGGGAGCTTCCAAACCCACGAACCACCCGGCGCGTCTCCCGAAGCTCGCAAGGCCTCGGTGTCAGGGCCAACGAACAGCTCAAAAGGAGCCTGCGCGCAGATGGGTGCTGAGTGCGCAGGCGCAGGCGACCTTTGCGCAGGCGCGAGGCCTTCTAGGGAAGCAGGGCGCACCCTGCAGGCCGTCTGTTTGTCCAGAGTGCGGACGGGGTCCGCCCACCAGCGTGAAAGGGAAGGTGTGGCTGGGTTGTGCCTTTGGGGTTCAAGCAGGCTGTATCAAAATGTTGCATTCTTTTTATTTTTTAATGTATGTTTGTTTGTTTGTTTATTTAGAGAGAGAGAGAGCACGTGAGGGGGAAAAGGGCAGAGGGAGGCAGAGAGAATTCCCAAGCAGGCTCTACGCTGAGAGTGGCTCCTCTGACCACAGGGAGACCACACCTGAAGTGATAATTAGAGTCGGATGCTCAACGGATTGAGCCACCCAGGCCCCTAAAATGTTGCTTTCTTCACTCTAACACTTGCTTTGGACAGAAAGTTCAGACTTAAGACTTGTAAACTAGTAAAGTCCGAAAGTAAAAAAATCTCTCACAAGGATCATAGACCTAAGTTAAGAGCTAACAGCATAAAACTCTTACCAGAAAACATAGGAGTAAACCCTCTTGTCCTTGGACTAGGCAAGGGTTTCTTAGGTAAGACACCAAATGCACAAGTGGCTAAAGAAAAAATTAATTGGAGTTAGCAAATTAAAAACGTTTATGCCTCAAAGAGCACCACCAAAGAAAGTAAAAAGAGCACCCACAGAATGAGAGAAAATATTTGCAAATCATATAAGGGAATTGTATCCAGAATGTTTAAAAAAAAAAAAAACTTACAACTCAAAATAAAGACAACCAACTGAAAAATGGGCAGAGAGGTGCCCGGCTGGCTCAGCAGGTAGTGTGTGACTTGATCTCCAGAGTCCTGAGTTTGAGACCCATGCTGGGTGTAGATATTACTAAAATTAAATAAACTTAAGAAAAATGGGCAAAGGATGTGAAAGGACATTTATCCAAGGAAGACAGAAAAATGGCCAGTGAATTCATGAAAAGATGCTCAACATCATTACTCATGAGGGAAATGCAAATCAAAACCAAAAACAGGTGCCACTTCACACCCCCGAGGA